GCGCAAGACGTGCAAGGCTGCGGCGTTCAAGGCGAATGTGCAGCAGACGGCGCCCTCGATCTCTGCGAAGCAGCAGATAGGAGGCGCTGCGAATCAGGCTACGGAGATGGAAGGAATCACTAAGCGGATGGGGGTTACGCACACAGCAGATGCAGGTTGCCTTCGACATGGAGCGAGAGTCTTGGAAGCGTAGCTCGGCCCAGGCCCAGGCTGCAGTTGTCGAAGAGGAAGGCGGCACCCAGACGGGGGGGGAGAAGCAGAGGCTCACTGAGATCGACGGCATTCTCGGGTGCACCAATGACGATGTATCGGAGAGTGACAGAAGGAGCGCGCTGGCATCCTGGCGGAGCTGCGCGGTGCGCAGCCAGTCTCGGTGCAGCTCGATGGCCTCAACGAGAAGCTGGGGCGGGTCAAGGCGCGCGTCGAGAAGGCCGAGGCTGCGGTCGCGGCCAATGCGAAGCAGATTGCTGCGCTTCAGGCCGAGATCGCAAGGAAGAGTGCGCAGCTTGACCAGCATCGCAAGGATGTGCTTGGAGGTCGTGCGAGCTGCTGGCGGCGGCGAGCTGGTCGAGTCCTTGCCCAAGGCGCTCCGCAGCAGGCTCGCCGAGATGGCGGGGAAGAAGGCTCCCACTGCAGAGCCTGAGAGCGAGTTAGCTGCAGCTGCAGCCCCGCCAGACAACTCCGAGGCCACCAAGCCGCTGGAGGCTGTCGAAGCTTTCGTCCTGGCGGCAGGGCACAAGGTCCCTGGATCTGAAGACGAAGCGCGACTTCTGGCCCAGCAAATCAGGCAAACTACCAGGGCGTTTTCTCCGTGCCAATGGCTGTATGTATTTCCAAGTGGGGTTGGCCTTTTTTTTCCGAGTCGGGACGATGGTGTCTGCTGCGTCTGCAGGTGGCGTCTCGGGCGAGGAGTCGGCGTTGCGTGCTGATGCGGCTCCGCTTGTCCCGAGAGCGACGTTGGATGAGAGCGAGGTCGGCCTGTCTGTGCTTCTGGACTGGGGTGCGGACGACGAACTAGAGGCGGTTTTTGGTGCGGGCCTCGCTAATGGCGGTGCTGCAGAATGATCTTCCCCTGGCGGGCAGGGATGTGTCTCCCCTGGGCTGGGGTCAGCAGCATGTCGGATGGCGCCGACGGTTGCCTCCCCAGATGGCTAGGAACGTCCTGCCCCTGGGCTGGGGGCAGCTGCGAGTCGAGTGGCGTCGTCGGCGATTTCCCTGGACGGCCAGGGATGCGCCTCCCCTGGGCCAGGGACAACGGCATGTCGGATGGCGCCGATGGTTACCTCCCCAAATGGCCAGGGACGCATCTCCATTGGGCTGGGGACATCGGCAGGTCGGATGGCGGCGCCGGCTACTTCCCCAGATGACCAGGGACGTGTTTCCCTTGGGCTGGGGACATCGGCAGGTCGGAGTGCGCCCTCGTTTGGCGTTAGCGCGCAAAGTCCCAGTGTGCCATCGCGGCTACCAGGCTCTGTCGCCACGGGCGTCAGGACGCAAAGACCTGGCGTGTCATTGCGGCTACCGGGCAATGAAACGCCGCGCGGGCCAGTGTGTCCAGATGCTGCTCAGGTACCTGGCGAGGCGATGGAGGAGGTGGCCGTCGCGAGGCCCGTAGGCCCTCTTGGCGCCGCGAGCGCTTTCACTGGGGCTGCCGTCGGCGCGAGGAGCGGAGAGCACGCCTCTGCTGGCGGGGCAGCGCGGGCAGGATCCGACAGCCACGAGGGGCGGCGTGTTGGCCAGGGGAAGGTAGGGGGGCAGCTCTCCGAGCACCTCTGGGCCCCCCCCCCCAAGGACGGCGTAGCCGCACGACAGTTCCGCGTGCGATTCGCCAGGCTCCGCCGCTCGCGACAAAAGGGGTCTCCGACAGCACGAGGCTCACCAGACTGGTACGTGCAGGGGATGCTTCGCCACGGTCAACTCTACATCCTATGGGCCCTTATGCGACTACATGGGCGGCATGCCTGGGCGCGCCATCGTTGCGGCGCAGGAGCGCCGCGCCGCGGTGGGCGCGCTGACGGGGCGCAGCCCGCGCTCCGCGACGTTGGCTATCATGGCATTTGGGCGCCTGCTATCTCCACCAGCAATGGGTCGGGCACGTCCGCGGGGTAGCACTCCTCGCTAAGAACCAGATTTCGCCCGCGAGGCCGCCAGCCACAGCATCGCCAATGCTTCAAGAAGGAAGGCCCGTGGGCGCTCGCGCGCATTGGGGGGTGAAGAGAGGCGCCGTGTTCTCCCCAGTCTACCTTCGGTCCAGTGAGGGCCACAGCGCGGCGAACAATGAGACGCTGAGTACGTTGCTGCAGCGCGCTCATGTGCTCAATTGCCCGTGCTTGGGTTGAGTCGCGTTGGGAGAGTCCAACATAACGGTCGACGAGATGGTGCAACTGAATCCACGCGCTGGGTGGCGTCGCGACGGCGACAACAGCCGCCGCGCGCTGGCAGGGCGAGAAGGGATCGGTTATTGATCACGCGCTGGGGGCTGCCAATTTGGTCACCGAAGTCAGGCAACCCGTCGCGGGTGAGGCAGCGCTCGCCTCGCCACGCAGGCCAGTGCCTTATCAGCTGCAGGCGGTGGACGCCCCCCATGTTGCGCCGTGCAACTGGAGAGCCAGCCAGCTCCGATCTGGGCGATCTCGCCTGTCGGATGCGCTAGACCTCCCAGGGACCGGCAGAGTGTGCTGGACCGCATCGACGCTGCTTTGAACCAGACTGTCCTCCAGGTGGCATGGAATGCTGTGCTGATGGAGGTGGATAATGAGTTGCTCGACCGCTGGGGCGTGACCGGCAGAGATCGGGCGAAGCGTTGTGGTCGGTTAGGAGTTATCTGTACCCAGGGGGTGGTTCGCAAGTGGAAGCCACCGTGCATGGGGCTACATCAGAGCACGCAGGCGCACCCGTGGGGCGCGGCGGCTAAGTGGGCCGAGCACCTGGGCTCCACGCGCTCGCTCATGGTGGCTAAGATCCAGTGGCTGCAGGCAGCCACCGCGATGTGCACCCTCAGCGACTGCCAGTTTGACGACATCGCAGGTTTGTTTTTGTAGGTGTTGGCGCTCTTCGGGCGGCTTCCTGGCAATGCTGGAGTTATCAAGGAGCTCCCTGAATTGGTTGGCGCTTTCTTCCGTCGCGGCTTCGAGGTGTTCACGGCGGATGGATTTCCGGTCGCGATCGAGGCCGTCCTGAAGGAAGCCCAGCACAAGTTTCGGCGATATCAATATGGCTGGAGTGCAAAGTTCAAGGAATGGAGCGCATCAAGCGTTCATCGGCGGCGATTCGGGGCAAGCCCGAGCAGTTGCCCAGATGGGAGGAGGCGTGGGGCTGCCGTGGCCCTGAGCCGCTCAAGGTATCACAGGACGCTGAGAGTTGGGAGCGACTACCACCGCTGGCTGGTCCCCAACTGCGCCGCGCCTGCGCCGCGTTCTCGAAGAGCACGGCCGCGGGTCCTTCATGGATTGCCCCGAGAGCTCTGCATAAGCTGTCCGATGACGGGCTGGACACGCTGGCAGCCCTCTACAATCGTTGCGTGGAGCTTGATGTGGCCCGACGAGCGCATCATCAACGAGCTGGTACGCCTGCCGAAGGCAGAAGGCGGGAATCGGCTCATCGCGCTGGCGCAAACGCCGGTGCGGCTGTGGGCGAAGGCGAGGTCCCCCATCTCAACGGCGTGGCTCAGAGGCGCAGACATGCCTGACATTTGGGGCTGCGGAGGCCCAGATAAGTCTTCCAGTCACGCTGCGTTCTCTCATAATCCCGAGTCGGAAGTGGCCCAGTCGCTTGGAGAGAAGGCGTTAACCTGCGGTTCTCGGTGCGTACAAGTGCTTCGAGTGAGTGAACCCCCGCGCCCTGCTTGCCGAGGGCCGCGTATGTGGGCGCCCTATGAGATTGCCATGGGTGCTACTGCAGTGTCGCAGGCAGCCGAGAGTGGACAAAGCGTTCGATTCCTGGTCGACGCAGGTTTCCACGACCTAACGGATATTGGCGGGCTGCTCGCGTTCCACGGTGATGTTGGCGCTGCTGTCCTGCCGCATCACGAGTCGGCTTCGCACCCTGGGCGTGGCACCGAGGGCAATGGTTGATGACCTAACGTTGCAGTGGAATGGCGTGGGCACGGAAATCATGTTTCAGTTGCGTTTTGCCGTCAAGGCCTTCATCGTCCTGGCAAGGCAGCTTGGCCTGACCTTGCAGGCGGGCAAGTCCAGGTTAGTGGCGGGCTGCCCGCAGGCCGCGCGCGTGGCGCGCTGGCCTGCTGCCGCCATCGGTCTGCCCATGAGTTGCACGGCGCTGATCACAGGTGCCACCAGACTCGAGCCAGGATGCATAAGTTGAAGAACCGAGTCGTTCGAGCTAAGGCGTTTCGAAGGGCCGTTGGCAACAAGGTGTCTGTCATTTGACGGCCTGTGTTGTTGAGTTCGGCCAACCATTGCGCCACGGTGAGCGGGGCTCCAGACAGGGACCTCAGGACGTCGCGTCGTGCCGCTGGGGCTCTGGCGGGGGCTAAGGAAGGCTCTTCTGGGCCCACTGCGTACCTGATGAATCAGAGAGACCCGTGGTGTCCGATTTTCGATGTCATTTATGCCTAGCCATTGCACGCGCGCAGGCCATTTGGGATGCCGCTGTTTCTCTTGGCAGGTTGGAGCGGGTCTGGAGGCTTTGAAGTACGACAGGTGCCGGGCCGATTGGGCCCATGCGAGCGGCCCGATGGCGGTGGTCTGGTTGCCCCTTCGGCGTGTCGATTGGGATATGAGATCATCAGTGCTCCGAGTCGATGACTTAGGCGGGTGCGTTTCCCCTCTCCTGGTGCCCCCTGCGGACGTGCGGGAGAGGCCCGGGGCAAGCTTCCAGAGGTGGCAAGCTAGGAGGCCCCTCGATCGCCACGCGGATCTGCCTCTGCACGGGGTGGTCTGGGCGCGGGCCGTGCGGTGCTGTGTGTGCGTATGTGGGTGAGGGGGGGTCCTCTGCGGCGGTCGAGCATGCCACCCACGCGGGCGCGTTGAGGGCCTTCTGGGTTGGTGGGATTTGGACTCAAGCTCGTAAGGCTGAGCGTGCGTTGTTGCGTTCTGGTGTGTGTGTGTGCGCGAGTTGTGCAACTTGGAGCCTGGGTCCTGTTCCCACATGCTTTTCGAATCTCCAGGCCTGCGAACTAGTCTAGAAGACGAGGATCGCGGTGACCTTCCTAAGGGGCTGGCCGAGATCCGTGAATGCACGCGGACCCACGGCCCAGTTGGCCTGGGGCATGCCGGAGCCGAGCATGCAGGCATGTGCCTGGCCGTGCCTTTTGACCCCACCAAGCCGCCCCCCCGCCCTTAACCCTCCGACCCTGCTTTGGGGCGATTGGAGGTCGGGCTTGGGCCCGGGGGAACCGCGGCTTCTACTGGCGGCTCAGGGCTCGCGTCGAGCAGCCCGACCCTCAGAAGGTGCGGGCGGTCGGCTGCGCGGCCGTCGGAGGAAGGGGCCCCTCTCCGCGCTGCCCTTGGAGGCCTGCCTGAGTTCATGCGACCGACCGCTGGGAATGCTGAGCGCTGGGCCGCTTTCAGGGCCAGACAGCTTTGCCCCTCCCTGGAGCTCATAGTATCGGATCTGGCCTCGCTGGTGGCCGAAGGCGCTGACTGGTCACCTAGCCTCGCGCGGGTCACGGCCAAGCATGCACTTGTCTGGTGTAGATTTTTTGCGCCGGTCGAGAGACAGCAGGCGCCCCCGCGGCCCTGAGAGCGGGCGCCCTCGCGCCTCGAGCTTGAAGATGCGCCCTTCAACCCGAGAGCGCCGTCTCTGCGGGCCCTTGGCAACGCGTGGGCAGATTACTTTGCCAAGCCTGGAACCTCTGACGTCGCCGTCTCAGAGGGTCTTGCGGATGCGCACAAGAGAGCGCTAAAGGAGGCGAAGTCTTTCTCGAAGTTCGCTTCGTGGGCGGTCGCCCACAGAGTGGAATTCGCTAAAGCAGTCGAGTCAGATGCTGCCCCTCCTCGGTCTTCTAGCCCCCCCCCCCCCCACCTCTGTCCAAGATGTCAGCGTCACTGGCCTGGACCTTTGTTGGGCACATCCAAGGGTGAGCTCCGCTGCAGGTCTATTAACACGGTGGCGCGCACGAAGCGCACCTACGAGAATATGTTGAGCACGCGTGTCAAGACTTGCGCGCCGTCGGAGCACCAGCGTGCTTCGGCTGACAGTTCCGTTTTCAGCCAGCCCAGTGTTGGCGATGCGATTGCGTGGGAGGCATTCTTTCTGTCGTCTATTGGCATGGTCGTATCTCCCACGCCATGGGGCGCGATTGCGTTCAGGGAGGCGGCGCTGCGGTGCGCATTGGGCGGGGGCGGGCAATGCTGCGAATTTGCGAGCATCTTGCAAGGGGGCGCCCAAGTATGAGAGGTCCCTGGCGGGGGCGGCCATGCGCGTTCGGAGAATTCTGGCTGGCCGCCACCCTGTCTCCGGTGTGGCCCTTTAAGGTAGAGGATTATGCTGTTCCTTCTCCTGTCCGCCTTCACTTGGGCGCAGTGCGGGGGTGGCTACGGTGGTGTCCCCCTTTTTTTAAGGGGGGGCACAGCCAGGCTGGTGCCCTGCGCGGGTGCCACTGGTGATGCCGCACACCGCTGACGTGAGTGCGTCCAGTGCACTAGTGGTCAGAGCTGGCTCGGAGGAGAGCTCTGCCTCGGCGAGCGCTCAGTTGCCATCTGCTCCGTGGTCGTGACTCGGCCGCGCTTGCAACGGGCGCAAAACATATATCACCAGCCCATGCCTGCATGCCCCCCAAAGAGTGCCAGCGGTGGTAGTAACTTTTCAGAAGAAGCAGAGAATCTGAGGGAACAGAGCATGCCTGATGCACTGGAAGGCGAATCGGACTCATCGTGTGCGAAGACCCGTGCAGGGCGCGCGCCGTTCTCTGGAACCAGCACACGACGTCAGGGGAGAAACGAAAGTAGGAGTCAGATTGCGCAGTTCTGCATGAAACTCCTTTTCTTATGCGTTGTGTTGCCGATCGGCGCGGGCGTTCGCACCCCCCATCACCCCCTTCCGCCCCCCCCCCTATGGAGCAGATCGTGGCTGTTTCCAGCGCCTGTTTCGAACAGGTGGAGTCTCCCCCGGAGGACGCAAAGTTGCAAGCAATCGCGCTACGAGGAGCCAGAGCTCCCCCTCACCCCCCTTTCCGCCCAATATCGAAACGCCGAATAACAAAACGCTCACCAGAACGACATCAGGGGAGAGACGAGAAACGTAGTCAGACTGTGCATAGGTGCGCGGCGCGCTGGGGGTTGGTGGAGGAGAAGGAGGGGGCCAACGCTAACGGAGGGGGAGAGAAGTTACCCGAAGTCATTATCAATCCTTCTCCCCCCGCCCATCACGCTTGCCTCTGACCACAATTGTCCGCCTCGTACGACCAGCGCTCCTCCCAGCACGGCCCGCGCACCGTGCACAAAAATTCATCCCGTCAGACGGCGACGGGGACGGCGCGACGCCGACGCAAGAGGCGGCCACGAAGGACCAGCCAGTGAAATGGGCAGCGGCAGCGACGCCAGCTATGACAGCTATGACGGCGGCGGCGGCGGCGCCGGCGGCGTTGGCGCCGACCACGACGACTTCCGCATGCCGCGCGCCCGCAGCGGCTCGAGCGGGCGCACCCATCCTGCGGGGGGCGTCGCCCGCGCCGGCCGATCGATCTGGGCCCCCCGCGTTTTCACGGGGAACGGATAATTGACATAGAGACTTATAAACATCAGCTTTCGGACAGACGCGCGAATTTGTCGCATCTGCGCTGGAGCTACATGGCGGTGCATCTGGCGCCGCCCCTGGCGCGCTCCGCGCGCCAGGGATGGGGGTCCAGCGCCGATCCAACGAATCAGCGCGGACCTCCGAACGCTCATGTTTACGCCATTATCTGATCCTCGAGCTTTTACTGCGGGGGGGCCCTGCGGACGCGGCGCCCAAAGTTCAGGGTCCTCTGGGCCTCCCAAGCGAGGCTGCTGCGCAGGTGCCCTGAGATCCTTGCGTCGCAACTTTGATGGAGCGGGCGATGCTTTGCGTGGTGTCGGGTCTTGGGACCACGACAGATCGACCTGGCTAGAAGATGCGGCAGAAATATTGGGGTTTGGGCTTCGGTCGTGATCTTTTGCGACGTCGCGTTTTGCTTCGCAGCGTCGGATCTCAGGGTCGAGGGTCGAGAGGATCGAGGGCCGTCATAGAGGCTTTCGTGCCGGATTCCTGGCTGTGCGCTGCCAGGGAGGATGCCGAGAGTGGCCACGGGAACGCTCTTGGGCGATTTTTTGTTTTCAGCGGTGTCAGGAAGCAAGCGTAGGAAAGCTAGAGACCGCATAAACATGTACGCTTCGGAGGTCTGCGCGGATTTCTTGGACCAGGGAAGGGGAGCTTGGCGCCGATCCAAGACATCCGCGCGGGCCACCGAAAAGGTTCTTCTCGAAGAACGGGGGTTCTTATCTGTTTCCACAAGTGCTTGGATACAGTCGGACAGAGGTATCGGATCGAGGCCGAGTTGGGGCGGGTACCCTAGTGTTCTTCGTGTTTGTTGGATGTTCTCGTGTTCCCCTGGGGGGTGTACCCTTGGCTGTTCTGCTTGTTTTGTCCGACGGAGGGTCTCATGTTCTTGCAGGTTTACGGGTGTTCGCCTTGCGTCGTCGAATTCTTCGGCGTCTGAGCGTCCCTTTCTCTTCTCGGCCGCCCCCCCCCTCTCTTTGCCCGCCGGCCCATTCGCCAGTTCGTGCCCCTCTTCAGCTTCTCGCTCAGGAGCGGATTTCGCCGCCTCGCCGCCGACGAAAAAGGGCACCTCGCGACAGTAGATGGACAATCTGTTCGAACCCTTAAACATTCGAGGCAGATTCTAAATCACCCCCGCGCCCCCGACACCAATGTTGATCTCCGTAAAGGCGGTGCTTTGGGGGTTTCACTACTTCTGTCCACTCACGCCCCCCACGTCGCCACGCCATCGATATTGATTTCGGGGGGTCTGGAGGGCATCTTGGGCCACAGAGTTCGAACATAATTCAGGAGGGGAAGAAACACACAGACACAATCAATCGTCGATTCCCAGGAAAGTATTGGAAAATATGGGAAGTGGGGGGGGGAAGACAAACGCCGAGCAAATATGGGAAGATATGGGGAATGGTTTTAATTTTGTGTGTATTTACTTGCGTGTCCTGGGGCCCTTTCAATCGTGTCCATGTACGGGAGCGCCTCGTGCCGCGAGGGTGTGCGGCGCTCGGCGCCGGCGCCCACCCGCGGGCGCTCCGTGGGCGCTGCGCGCGTCGGCCGGGAGTGCCGGGTGTTTGCCCGCGCTGCCGCCCGGGGGGCGCTTCCTGCGCTGCAGCACCTTGTTGCAAGGGCTCCCTCGAGGGCGCGAAGTTATTCGCGCTTCGCGCTTCGCGGTCCTCGTTCCTCCTCCCCCTCCTCCTCGTCCTCCTCTTCTCCCCCTTGGGGGGCGGCGCGAGAGCGCGAAGTTATTCGCGCTTCGCGCTTCGCGCAGCGCGAAGCGCGAACTTAGGAGCCCTTGTTGTTGGCACGACGGGGCCTTATCACGGTGCACTCTTCGGGAGGGGGAAAAGACACACACAGACACAATTCATCCTCGATCCCCCAGAGAGAATATGGGAAAAAAAAAGTATGGAAGGTGGGGGGGAGGCGACGATCCAAAAGAGATGGAAAAAAACATTGGGTTGTGTGTATTTGTGTGTCCCAGGGCCCCTTCAACTATTGTGCCGCATGGCCTGCACCTAGCAGTAACAGCATCACTTGCACCACGCTGCTTGCACCACATAGCCAGTCTGGAGGAGGAGGAGGAGGTGGCGGAGATCGATCGGGGGCACAGGGTAGGAGGGGGAGCGGCTAGGGAGTGGCGAGGGAGGAGAAGGGGCAGTGACTGACGGAGACTGCTCTTTCTCCTTCATCGCTTGGCTCATCCCGCCGACCCATTTTTCATCACTATTGGTTGGTGGCGCTGCAAGATGGCTGGCGTTGGTCGGTTCCGCGCCAGGCGAACCGCTGGGAATCGAGGCGGCTCATTGGTGGTACAAATTGGTGTGCTCTTGACGGCTAGAATGAAGGTAGGGAGCTCGATAGGAGAGGAGGAGGAGGAGGAGGAGGAGGAGGAGGAGGAGGAGGAGGCCTCTCCACGGCTTCTTCGGGCACTGTTGGGACCAAATTGGATCGCGGACAAGACGCCTCTTTGGAAGGATTCTTGGGGTCGCTTTGGAGGCCTCTCGGGGGCCTCTTGGCGACATTTGGGGGATTTCCTGGGGCCTCTTAGGGGTCCGTGGGGCGTTATGTTGGGCTTCCCGGGGTCCCTTGAGGGCTTTGGGGGCGAATTTTCGCGGAAGGCTCGATGGGGGGCCATTATGGAAGTTTCTGGAACCCACTGGGGAGGCCTGTTGGGGCCCTCTTGGGCCGTCTTGATGCCGTCCTGAGGGCTTTTTGGGTTGACTTGGGGCGATCTTGGAGGCCTCTTGGGCCGTCCAGGGTGGAAGGCGGTACCGCAAAAAACGTCCCAGCACCCGAGCAAACTGAATGAACGGTGAAGGCCTTACGGCTGGTGCCGCGGACCCAGAAGGACACCGACCACGACCACGACGACGACAACGACGACAACGAAAACGACGAGTTGATGCCGTTGCCACAAGCTCGGGACATGGGGCGGGCGGTGGTAGGAGGAAGAGGAGAAGGAGGAGGCGGAGGAGGAGGCGTAGGAGGAGGAGGGGAAGGGGGAGGGGCGGGGGCGGAAGAGGAGGTGGAGGAGGATGGGGATGATGAGGAGGAGGGGAACAAGGAGGAGAAGGAGGAGGAGGAGGAGGAGGGGGAGTGGGATGAGTAGGAGGAGGAGGAGGAGGAGGAGGAGGAGGAGAAAGAGGACGAGGAGGAGGAGAAAGAGGAGAAGCAGAAGAAGGAGGAGAGTGAGAAGGAGCAGGAGGAGGAGGAGGAGGAGGAGGAGAAGGAGAAAAAAGAGGAGGGGAAAGAGGAGGAAGCAATAGATGATGATGATGATGAGGAGGAGGAGGAGAACGAGGAGGAGGAGGAGGAGGAGGAGAAACAGGTAATCGGTAAAGGCCCGTGGAGGGTCCAGGTCTTCGGGTGCCCCAGTTGGGGCTCTGCGCCTCGAAAAGGGCCCCTAGGGTAGTATATGGATGCTAGCCCCCCTTTCTTTCAGGGGGGCAGCCTGGGGCGTCGAGGCCCCCTCTCAGTGGAGGGTGGTCCTCGTGCCCCTCCAGCGGGAGACCCCGCTCTCGGTAGCGCGAAGAGCGAAAAAAGATAGCGGGCAGGGGGCGCTGTCCCCGCTGCTCGGGGGCGGGGCGACCCCTGCTGAGGACCTCTGCTCTCCCCCACTCTCCACGACTCACTTCCCCACTCCCCCCCAAAAAATTAGCCTGACGAAGGACCCAACCATGTGCAATTGCGAGTACCGCATTGTGGGTACCGGTTTCGGTGAAGCTCTTATGGGGCCACGAAACTTGTGAGGGGTGCGCCGAATTTGGTGGCGCGGACGCATGCGGACACCGCCACTGGGGCCTTCGGTGTAGCCCCCTATGGGGCACCGAAACGCTGCCCTGGGCGAGGGAGACGCATGCGAACTGCGCCATTGGGACCTTCGCTGGAGCTCCTTTATGGGGCCACGAAGCGCTGTCATGGGTGGGGGAGACGCATGCGAACTGCGCCTCTGGCGCCTTCGGTGGAGCTCCCTATGGGGCCACGAAACGCTGCCCTGGGTGGAGGAACCGCAAGCGGGCACCCCCACTGGGGCCTTCGGTGGAGCTCCCTATGGGGCCACGAAACGCTGTCCTGGGTAGGGGAGACGCATGCGAACACCCCCACTGGGGCCTTCGGTGGAGCTCCCTATTGGGCTACGAAACGCTGCCCTGGGTGGGGGAACCGCATGCGGGCACCCTGGGGGCCGTCGGTGGAGCTCCCCATGGGGCCACGAAACGCTGCCCTGGGTGGGGAACCGCATGCGGGCACCCCCATTGGGGCCTTCGGTGGAGCTCCCCATGGGGGAAACCGCATGCGGGCACCCCCACTGGGGCCTTCGGTGGAGCTCCCCATGGGGCCACGAAGCGCTGCCCTGGGTGGGGGAACCGCATGCGGGCACCCCCACGGGGGCCTTTGGTGGAGCTCCTTATGGGGCCACGAAACGCTGCCCTGGGTTGGGGAACCGCATGCGGGGCACCCCTTCGGTGGAGCTCCCTATGGGGCCACGAAACGCTGCCCTGGGTGGGGGAACCTCATCGCCTTCGGTGGAGCTCCCTATGGGGCACGAAACGCTGCCCTGGGTGGGGGAACCGCATGCGGGCACCCCCACTGGGGCCTTCGGTGGAGCTCCCTATGGGGCTACGAAACGCTGCCCTGGGTGGGGGAACCGCATGCGAACACCCCCACTGGGGCCTTCGGTGGAGCTCCCTATGGGGCCACGAAACGCTGCCCTGGGTGGGGGAACCGCATGCGAACACCCCCACTGGGGCCTTCGGTGGAGCTCCCTATGGGGGAAACGCTGCCCTGGGTGGGGGAACCGCATCCCCACTGGGGCCTTCTGGAGCTCCCTGAAACGCTGCCCTGGGTGGGGGAACCGCATGCGGCACCCCCACTGGGGCCTTCGGTGGAGCTCCCTATGGGGCCACGAAACGCTGCCCTGGGTGGGGGAACCGCATGCGAACACCCCCACTGGGGCCTTCGGTGGAGCTCCCTATGGGGCTACGAAACGCTGCCCTGGGTGGGGGAACCGCATGCGAACACCCCCACTGGGGCCTTCGGTGGAGCTCCCTATGGGGCCACGAAACGCTGCCCTGGGTGGGGGAACCGCATGCGAACACCCCCACTGGCACCCCCACTGGGGCCTTTGGTGGACCGCTCACCCCCTGGGGCCTTCGGTGGAGATGGGGCCACGAACGCTGCCCTGGAACCGCATGCGGGGGGAAGCTCCGCATGCCCGGAACCGCACCCC